TCACCTGTTGAAGAGTTGTACGTTGATATATGAAAATATCTGAGAAAATATCTTCTGAACAAGAATTGGAGGAACCTGGCAACGAAACTAGCATCAGCATTTTATAGCATATGAAAGGTATAAAAGGTAAAGTGAATGAGATTCATACGAAATTTTCTTTCAAGGTGCTGAGAAGAGAGTTTAGGCACTCAATGATTCCCTGCCAGTGATTTGTTGCGGAATCTCTACCAAAGGATCGCCCAGATCTCAGCACACCTTTAGAGGTTCTCGGTGCCTGAATTTTAGTTTATCATATAATGATCATTAACAGTTTTGCCAGATTGTCGAAAATTAATTGACATAGAATAGCAAAAACATGGTAAACACGGGGACATGGAGTACCTAACAAATAGATAAAGCATCAATCCGCAGCTCCTTGATAGTTCGAATATAGGTAGTAATAATACGCATAAAATTCAAATAGCATAAAAAAGATTCTCATCATAGGAAATTGCCTTTCTGATGCATGGTGTAGATACAGTCATTGGTTTACATCTACAAGAAATGAATTTGATAACAAACCATTGAAGAAGAAAATGAACGATAAAGAAAAAGGGGTTTCAAGAAGAATTTAGGGCAAGAGTAAATCAGTTTATTTCATATGTTCAAGAGTACCCATTATAATGAATAAATCCTTTTTATATTGAGTAATTTGAAGCATGTTTGAGCCCCAGTTTTGGAAGTGATGCATTTTGGAATAGCATTTTAATGAGAATGTGTGGTCAAAAAATAAGGAAAAGTTTTGGATTTGCATGTAATATTCTTTTATTGAAGAATGTGTGGTTAAAAAGAAGAAAGTGAAAAATGAATTTTGTGAAAAAAAAGAGAGAGAGAGAGAATCAAACAACAGCTTAATCTAATCAAACATAACTTGAATAAAACTATATTTTAAAATCCTAAACAAATTTTATGTTTTTCCTTATCTTTGTTTCCCATTAGCAACATAATAATTTCTAGAGATGGTAATAAATCAAGGCTGTTTTTCTTCTGAATAATCCAAGAGAAAATGTAAAGACTCCTTCAATCTTCTTACAATTTATAACATGCTTTCTTAATAATGCAGGACATGATAGCTGAGAACTTGAGATTATTTTCATATTCCATAAAAAGAAAATAAATATGAAGTTGGAAGCACCCCTTCTTTCAAACTTTCAAAGAGAGGAGACGGTTTATTCACATCTCATTTGATGGTCAGAGGTGAATTGAAAGTTAAGCAGACATTGCTGATGCTTGTCTTGGGTTCCAATTAACTTCTAAGTTACCATCTACTACACAAGATGTATGGGGATTCTCACTCTATGACAGACATGCAAAAATAGCATGCGCGTGTAAGCAAAGGATCACTGCCTCAGGTGTCCAATTGTAGCCTTAAAATATCTATTGCCTCTTAAAGGAGATAACAACAATCATAGAGCCATTGTTTTAAGAACATAAATGTTTTACAAAAACCAAAGTACAGCATTGGAAGTTTAGGGATAATTACAAAGTACACACCAGTTCAAGATACCTAGATGCACAAAGAAAGCAATGATCTCAACTCCTTCGAGTTGTCTCGAATAATTCCATAAATTTTCTCAACATAGGCAAAAAGTAGAGCTGGGTATTTGAATGTTTTACCAAAACCAGACTGCAACATTGGAAGTTTAGGGAGAATTGCAGAGTACACACAAGAGCTCAAGATACCTGGATGCACAAAGCAAGCAACGATCCCAACTCCTTCTTCGAGTTGTCTCGAATAATTCCATAAATTTTCTCAACATAGGCAAAAAGTAGAGCTGGGTATTTGAATGTTTTACCAAAACCAGACTGCAACATTGGAAGTTTAGGGAGAATTGCAGAGTACACACAAGAGCTCAAGATACCTGGATGCACAAAGCAAGCAACGATCCCAACTCCTTCTTCGAGTTGTCTCGAATAATTCCATAAATTTTCTCAACATAGGCAGTAAGCTGCTGCTTGAAAAGCAGAGCTGGATATTTGGCTTCAACTTGGCGAAGTGTTTCAAGAGCCGCTGCAGCTGCAGCTTGGTTTACAGTAGAAGGGGATGACCGAAATCCCTGAGTATAATTATAGATATATAATTCAACTTCACAAAAATTATCCACTTCAAAAAAAAAAAATCATGAAATAATTAAATGAAGCTTGGATTATTCAAATACCATTGTCATTCTCTCAAATAGAGATGTGGGAGGGGGTGGTTTACGAACTGGAGCTGAACCAGCAGGCCTCAAACTTCGTTGGAGTAAGAACAGCAATGTAGAGGTGTTTGACAGCCAATAAGCCATGTGATCATTGCTTTCTTGATTCTACAATCAGTTACAACTGTGTTAACTTTCAAATCTTGGACAATAGCTCTAGACATAGTTACAGCTGTAAGTTTATTTTTTCCTCTTAACAGCTATAAAGCCGCCAGACAACTTTCCACCACAGAACATTGTGAACTCCGGGAAGTAATGACCCCATAACATCAACGCGCACGCGCGCACCCCAACAAAAAAATAAAAAAGACTATGGAAAGTACCAAAAGAAACCCATTACGTGAGCATACGTCTCATATATTGGACACACAGTATGTAGTAGAGACTAGTAGTATAGAATGCGGAAAAGAACCAGATGCAGTTAATTCTGCACCTCTTGGACAATAGCTCTAGACATAGTTACAGCTGTAAGTTTATTTTTTCCTCTTAACAGCTATAAAGCCGCCAGACAACTTTCCACCACAGAACATTGTGAACTCCGGGAAGTAATGACCCCATAACATCAACGCGCACGCGCGCACCCCAACAAAAAAATAAAAAAGACTATGAAAAGTACCAAAAGAAACCCATTACGTGAGCATACGTCTCATATATTGGACACACAGTATGTAGTAGAGACTAGTAGTATAGAATGTGGAAAAGAACCAGATGCAGTTAATTCTGCACTGCGCAGACACTTCAATCAAGTGTCTGAATAAACCACGATTGAGATATTTCTATAAACTACAACAGCTGGGCTCAGTATGCACAATCAAGAACTGATCAGTCATCTTCATAGATGTATGTTTATTATGTTCAGTCAGGAATAGTGGTCATTACTTCAACTAGGCCCTATGGTATTCGATCTTGGAACTCTATGCTTGAAGCTCCAACTACAGGAGCTGTTAGAGAAGGGTTCTTTTAATTGGCCCAGCATTTTTGTCAAAGTGGCCAAACTTCTACATCATAGCTATTCAATATAGGAAGTGCAATGGGGTGGGGTGGGGTGGGGTGGGGTGCCACATCCCGGACCCCACTAGGGATTTTACCGCCCGATCCCCTCTTAGACCATCTCCAATGGTCTACCAAATTTTGGTGTAATTTTATACCAAAATTGGTGCGATTTGGTGTAACCTCTCCAAATTTTACACTAAATTTGGTGTAGACCATTGGAGATGGTCTTACACCAAATTTTATTTTAAATTATTTAATTAAAAATTATATTATTACCAAAGTCAATAAATTAAAAATTATATTTAATGAACAATATTGCATAAATTAATAAATTTAAAAAAATAATAATAAATGAAATACCCTAATAAAAAAGATTACATGAACAATTTTAATTTATTGTATCAATAATTATTACTTATTACTTGATTAGAATTTAAAGATAAATGTTAAATAAAAATATCACATTAAAATAATATAAATAAACTAAAATCAATTAATTCTAAAAGATTAAAAAAAGGATATAGATGGAACAAAAATTGTTTGTAAAGGTGAAGAGAGAGCAAAATGGAAATAATTGAGAAACTTTAAATTTGCATTACACTAAATTCACATCATATTTACCTAACCATTGGAGAGCATTTTACACCAAGTTTGCCTCACCATTGGAGATGGTCTGAAGGTGGGGCAGGGCGGGGCAATCCATGCATTGTTTACTGCCCCGGGGTCGGGCGGGTTTGTGTGTGTGTGTATTCCCTGTAAATTCTAGGGTAATTTGGGAGTTGAGCTGCAAGGCTTGGGTAATCGGTTTTAGGCATAAAAAAGCCGGGCTAAAGTGATTCTAAACAAAATTTGGAAAAAATAAATTAAATTCCACAAATGGGGTGGGGCACTGTGAGGCTAGGGTTTGGCCATTCAAATAGCCATCCCTAATTCAATATAATTATTTCATGTGCTGTGAGCAAAAATCTGTAATTTTCGTTTTGTGTTCCGTCGCTAGGGTTTTTGTTTAATTTTGTGTTTTTCTTTACCTATTTAGTTCATCAAGATTTCTGCTGAAGCCATATTTGTGCAACATGTCCCAGTCAATCCCACATGAGAAGGAAAAATGATGTCATATGAAGTCAGCAAATTACCTCGATGGCCAAACCGATCATATTAATGAGCCGATCAAATACACTTGTTCTTTCTGCTTCAAAAGATTTCCAGTGCAGAAGACATCTGTATATGGTGAACGCTGCAACGGGCTTGCCTTGACTGAACCCCACGTCTTTCATTACACAAGCCATGAGTGTATCAACATCCTCCTGCAGCATGTTTTCGAAATAATTTTTATTTAGTTGACTAGAATGTACACCAGAATTTAAGCATGAGAAATATGTGTATCAGAATCCCTAGAAGCACGCACATGCTGACGATCAGTTGGAGGTCTCCTTGGTTTGCCATCAGGGGTCTCATAACTTTTCTGTGGAAAAAGATTCTGTGATTCCTGCAGAAGTCAAACCCATCAAATAATCAATAAGTGGATAGTAGAATCCAATAACATGCTCTATGAAATTTAATTGATAATATGGAAAAGAGCTTAGTACATTGCTCTTGACTTCATTCACAAGGTGACCATTTTCCAATCCCTACATATAACATGGAATGACGAGATTTGAGATAAGATAAAGACAAAAAAGTTGTGGATTTTTCTGAAAATACATACATTGGTTGCTAAAGTAGATGGATGTTCTAGCGCCCCTTTAGCGGGGATAAGCAAGGTCTTGTGCCGAAGAATTTTATTCTCAGACTCCATGTCAGAAACTTTTTCTTCGAGCCTATATTTATAGAAAGAGAAGGCACAAATTGATTAGCAATATTGAATCCAGAAATCACTATGACCAAAAACTATTAATGATAAAAGAATATGTACAACATTTGCATGGCAGTCTTCAACTTAATGATCTTTGACTCTGCCTCCACAGCCTGTTTCAACCTCTCCTCACTAAGTTTGCTTGTCTCTTCGTATTTCTTCTCGGTTTCATCTATTTTCTTTTCTAGAGAGCTAACCAAGTCCTGAAATAAATAATAAAAATGAATGCTTCAGCAAGAATAAGCAACCCGTAATATCTATGTCCACACGAAGTATTCTCAGACTCCATGTCAGAAACTTTTTCTTCGAGCCTATATTTATAGAAAGAGAAGGCACAAATTGATTAGCAATATTGAATCCAGAAATCACTATGACCAAAAACTATTAATGATAAAAGAATATGTACAACATTTGCATGGCAGTCTTCAACTTAATGATCTTTGACTCTGCCTCCACAGCCTGTTTCAACCTCTCCTCACTAAGTTTGCTTGTCTCTTCGTATTTCTTCTCGGTTTCATCTATTTTCTTTTCTAGAGAGCTAACCAAGTCCTGAAATGAATAATAAAAATGAATGCTTCAGCAAGAATAAGCAACCCGTAATATCTATGTCCACACGAAGTCCCCAATAAAGCAAGTCAATTTCGCCATCTTACCTTGAGCTTTTCATTTTCAGCATTAAGCTTATCCATCAATTCATGGTCAACAACAGGGACCTCCTGGATTATAGGAATTTGCTTTACTGCCCTTTCAGCAGCTTCACGCTCCTTCATGAGAATGTCTTTAGTTTCCTTGAACTGTAGTTGCAGATCTTGCAAGGCTGACTGCAATTTTTCATTTTCTTGAGTTTTTGCTTCTTCCATGTCAGTCTACGAAACAGAACACCATACATCAGTAAAAAAGAAAAGAAAACAAGGAGGTATAGAGATGAATTCAAATATATTTTTTGAAGAAGCATGTTGAATTTACATTATTGATTGGTATTTTCCTAACATTTTCAACCATGTTTTTTAACACTTTCAGAACCTTTTTATTCCATACTCACAACGGCACAATCACAACAGCTTAGCACTACAGTCTCATGCTAAAACTTGAAAAAACGAACAGGGCCTTAAAAAAAAATCAAACATTTTCTAACCAAAAAAGAAGTTCACTTACCCTCATTCTTTTCTCCAACTGTAATCTCCAAGTCAACTCTTCAACCTGCTTCTCTAATTTATTCTTGGCAGCTTGCAGTGCACCTGTTTCTCTTGCAGCCTGTATTTGAATTGGAAAACAAAAATTATGAAAAACATGAATATAGAGAAGCAACAAGAGAGAGAAATTTAAAAGACTTGTAAAGGAACTTTTTTCCATAGAGCAATATGTCGGGAGGGTTTTGGTTATTCTCTATTTCATCCTTTTCCAAAAATTTGTATGGTATATAAGCTTCTTAATTTCATGTTTCTGTAAAATTATTGATCAGGAACACTCTAGGAGGGGTCAATAATACTAAAATACAATATTCTTTCACTCTTAATGATCCAACCATCCTCTTAAATTTAAGGTCTTCCCATGAACAGCTAGTTGCCTGAATCATAAATTTGAGACTTCTACACATTTTTTGAGCAAATTTTAAATTCCACATGTTTTAAGGGTAACCTTATGAACATTGAAGAAGAATTTTCACTGTAAATATGCTGGTCGATTATTGGTGATTGATTATTTTTTTAAGAACAGATTAGATTTCTCAGTCTGGATTGACCAATATGCTGTTTTCAATTGACATTACCAGAGAAACAGAAAAATTGTGTGGGGGGTGGGGGGATGGCATCCGCAGAATCAAAATGGGAAGCCAGTCATATAAATCAAGAAAATTGCCTTAGTTCCCACAGCATTTTAACAAGTGGATTCCCACTCTCTCTGGTCAAAAGAAAACATTGATTTCTGAAATCAACTATCCTAGAGCAGTAATATAAATATAGCTCATTGAACATTTGCTTAAGAAAGCCTGAGCACTCTATAGGTATAAAAAGCTTTAAAACCATGATAAGTAGCATGTGTAACTCATAATAAGTATTACTGACATATTTCAACTACATCTGGTGGGAAGGAAGAAAGAAATCGGAAGGTAGGGATTGAGAAGGAAAGAAGGCAAAGGAGGGTACCGTCTTCAGCTTCCGAAGTTCTCTACGTGCAACTCTAGCCCTCCATGCACATTGTGTGGTGATTGAAGCTTTTTTCAGCTTCCTATACTCTGAAAGGGCTAAGAATTTGCGGCAATGACTCTGTAGTCACAAGATGAAGTCATCAAAATTTTCAATTAGGACGTTCTTGGAAGGTTCTAGACAAGAAAATGTTTTTATCTTGACCAATGGACAACATACCAGAAAGATAACTTATGTTTTCCTGAGGTGTCTTACCTGGATGACAATGGCTGCACTTGTCTGCCTTCTGAAGCGAAGTTCACTACGTGCAGCCATCCCACGCATTCCAGTCTGAATTGAAATTGCAGATGAGCACAATTCGTTGTATGCTTTCCTAGCAAGATGCATCCGTAAATCTCTCTGAATCCTCAGAGAAGAAGCTTCTCTCCGCATGCCCTCATAAACTTTCCGAGTAAGTTCTCCTGCACTCAACAAAGAGGAAAACCTTATAAGGTTTGCAGTGCTTCCATTGACATAAAAAGTAAATCTTACAAAATTAAGCACCTCTGCACACTGATTGAAGCTGTATTGCTGAGGAACACAACGCTTTCCTAGCAAGATGCATCCGTAAATCTCTCTGAATCCTCAGAGAAGAAGCTTCTCTCCGCATGCCCTCATAAACTTTCCGCGTAAGTTCTCCTGCACTCAACAAAGAGGAAAACCTTATAAGGTTTGCAGTGCTTCCATTGACATAAAAAGTAAATCTTACAAAATTAAGCACCTCTGCACACTGATTGAAGCTGTATTGCTGAGCAACACAACAATGTAAAACTTTTTCTAGCCATGTAAGAACGAATTTTTCTCTGAATAATGCTTGCAGATCTTCCCAACACCTCAGTCCTGCGAGCATCCAGCTCAGCCATCTGACCAGCCCTTAAAAACACCTTTGTTTTCCCAATCTGCAAAAGCACGCTAAATCAAAAAGGCAATAGAATTTAACACTCAAAAAACTGGCAAATAAAATGCGTCCCATGCCAAAATATCACAATCAACCCCTCATCTCGGGCCATTGCATGGGAAATTATAACCTAAATCCTTTTCATTAGACATTAACTCGGTACCATGTGCATCTAAAGAACCTTTCACTAAGATCAATGTAGTTGTATGCAAACCCAAAGCAATAGCATGATGAACCAAAAAGTCTCCAGGACTTACGATTAAAAATAATGAATTATTATTTTTATTGATAGCATTTAACCAACAGGGCATGTAGATGCATGTTTGGGGCACAATATTAAACAGCACCAGACAGGACATTAGTCAAGATTTGAACTTCTTCTTCCTTAATCTAATCTAGTTTTGTCTAGTCTTACATATCAATCATACCCATAAAGTTCTGACTTATGATACCTTATACAAGCAAAGAGCAACAACTGTAACTGATATGTTAGAATTATGTTATTATCAGTTAAGCCTAGTTATTCAAATACAGGAACATGTAGCAGGGCCAAATTATCTGTGTCTGATCCTTTTCGAGGTGAACACGAGATAGGTTTTGGATTTAATAGAAAACAGAGTAGAAAGACGAGTTGGAATCCAAAAAGACGATAACATATGCCTGAACAAAAGAAGAAGAAGATCACTTTAGTTGACCTATTAAGACGAAGCAATCTGTCTTGATTTTAGTTCGGGGTGATACTCCTACCGAGAGCCTGTGTGACCAAAAACAAACAAACACGAGATAGGAACATCCATGATGGATATGGACCTCATTTTCACCATCAATAAACAAGAAAGATCTGAATTCTGATGGACCGAGAAAAAAAAACTATCGACATAAGTAAAAGCAGGGTTATAAGTTACGGATCCAAGTTTCACCGAACAATAATTAATAAATCAGTTTTGTCCAGAACTCATATAACTAAGCAACAGAAAGATCCAAGCTTCTTAAGTTTTGGATAAAAGGTTACAAGAAGCAACCATCATAGTGGCAGCCAATATTCCTACTGTAAGCACTAGCATAGAGAACAAGCACTGGGATTCTAGACAGAAAAAAAACAAATGGCAAATCTGATTACTTCTGTACTTAGTTTCATAGAGAAAGAAGCAACACAGAAGAATTAAAATGTCAGACATGGTAGAAAAAGCAATTTAGTAATGCTAAAATGCCAAACTAATATCCTTACAAGATCAACAATCTAGTAAGTTTACTTTCAAGAACCAAGGAAAACTATCAATAATACATTCTCACAAAACATGACACCGCTATGCCTTGAAAACAAGATTAGGACTGGGCCGCTATAACACTGGACAGGATCATTTCAATTTAAAAGGATAAATGCTGATGATTAATTTCCAAACGAGTGGTAGATATATGCAGCATTTATTAATTATCCAACAAAATAATCCATTACCTGATAGCCTTCAAGTCCCACTTTCTCCAAAAGCCTCTTGCTAGCAGTGACCTCATCCGTACTATTATCAATTTCCATTAGAGTGACAGTCAAAGAATGAGTGACATGAAAAGAATAAAGTAGCAATTAATATTACCTTCCGACTAAAACTTCAGGAGCCAGGATGCTAAAACGGTCTACAAATTCATCAAAGTGTCTTTTGGTTGGATATCCTGCACAACTTATCCTAATTGCTTCCATGACTCCCTGTATATACATGTAATAAATATGAACTGAGCAAAAGTTCAGCAGCTAATCTAACTTCAAGATACATTGGAAACCAACTAAAAGAATCTAATTTTTACCCCACAACGCAGTTGTTGCAAGACATTAAGATTCTCAAAAATAGCCGGCTTAAGAAGATTATTGGGCTTCACACAGCGAATGTAATGAGGTTCAGTGGTACTCAGAGTTTCAAGTAGAGCTTGCAATTGTTGCTGCAAATGTATCATCAGAAAAGTCAATACCTCAACATACTTGCCAGAAAGACCCATGTGACGATACACGCCAAGAGAAAGATAGACACAAGTGAGCACACACACAGAGAGAGGGGGGGAAGAGAGAGGGGGGTAGGGGGGGTAGGGAGAGAGTTACAGACCTTAAACCTTGAGCCAATGGAAGAGAACTTTGATTGTTTAGAGGTCTCCTCATTTGACATTGGAAATAAACCCGAAACGAAGGAACAGTTGGAAACATTCAAGAGTGATTGATGCTCAGCAATAACATAATCTTTGTTTTTGTCTAGAAACATCTCAGTTTGATAAGTGACCTAACATATGAAACAAGATGGAAATCAATGCTTTTCAATTGCAATCTCCTTGTTTTTTAAGTTAACTAGATAATTCAATATAGATAATAAAGACAAGAAAGAAACTTACATCACCGGCATAATGGGAAATAGTGAAGTCAGAAGGAGATAACTTGGGCTTGCTGAAGCGTTTATGGTTCTTAAAAGTCTGGTAAAGCTTCTGTGCAAATGTTTCATGAGTTGATCGAGGAAACATGCTACAAAATAAATTCACATCCATATAATTTCCATAAGTAGTTATGACAAATAAAGCGAATCATTGAAAATAGAAGTCCCTTAATTGATGAAAAAGCTTACCAAGCTTCATCTAGTAAAGCTATAATGCCACCTGGTTTCTGAGCCATTAAAAAGATTTATATTAGAAAGAACACGTGTATGAAGGGAGAGCCATGTTATAATAAAAGTGAAAACAACTCAGCATTTACATTGACAAATTAGCAAGAAGATGAACAGAAATCATCCATCTCAAGAACAAGAAAAACAAAAGGGATTTAAAAAATGTTGAACCGATTAAGGATCTTGGAGTCTAAGTATGAAAAACAGCATTGTACCCGGAACCAAAAAAATGGAAAAGTAAATAAGATCATAAATAAAGTTACTTCATAGTCTATAGTAATAGTCCATTAATGGATAGTAATGTTAGATTAGTGACTAAAGGATATAGTATGTAAAGCACAAGCATGCTTGAAATGGGAGGGTTCAAAGAGAGTGGGCTTGGGGTGGATTTCTCTGCTTGATTCTAGGTGATATGTGGTGAATTGCACCTCCTCCATGAGCTATAGCTTTTTGGCAAAGTGATGGAAATACCCTACATCATTTGGCATCAGATCTGGAGGTCCGGTGGTAAGTCAATGTTGTAGCATTTCTCTTAAATGGGTTTATGAAGCAGGAGCATGCTTGAAGGAGGTGGGTCCGAATGGAGTGGGGGTTGCGGTGTATTTCCAGGCTTGATTTGGGGTGATATAGGTTGGATTTCACCTCCTTCATGAGCTATAGCTTTTGGACAATGTAGTGGCAATACTGAGGGAAGCCTAAACCAAATTTTACAGCAGTAGGAATATATTTGCAAGATCATTGAATAAAGAATGAGATACTGTTTTTCTTCAACTTCAGCGAAAGACGTAGAATAACAGTTGAAAGAAGAACTTCAGATTAACATAACAGTCGGGAGAACCTTTTCAATGAGATCTAGAACGTCTTGATTGTCGATGAATTCAATGTAGCTCCAGTCGATTTCCTCTTTCGTATACTCCTCTTGCTCCATTTTGAAAACATGCTGTCAAATAAGGGAATAGGTTTCACAAAATTGTACCATAGTGAGCAAGTAAATTTAGAAATCAACTATAAGGAATCCGTGAGAAACCTGATTAAAGTGCTGCTGAAGCTTCTCGTTCGTCAAATTTATGCAAAATTGTTCAAAACTGTAGAAATATGCAACATTAGTGAAATCAATGATATACTAAAACTTTTGCAAAATAATCACATCTCAAGTCAATGAGCAAGTCAAATAATGCACTGAAATTAAAATGTTCAGGATTCAAAACGCTGGAACTGCGCTTCTCTGGCTATACTACCCTAGACATCACTCAAAATAGTGGGTCTGCCAGGAGGTTGTATCAGGTACTTATAGAGTGGAGATGGAAGGTTCATTCATAAGATTGTAAAGTGGGACATTATTAGTCCCTCCCAAATGGGAGACAATAATGGCATAAGCATTTTTCCTTGATTATTTGCAACAGTTTCGAGTTTCAAAATACACACTGACTATTCCAAATCTTCAAATGTAGTAACAAAGTATGAGAGGTGTTCATACCCAACATCTCAAATTTTTGGATTAGTATTTTCTTCCTTCACTATGCAATTGATCACAAGGTTATGAATAAACACGTGCACATTTACATGAAATTGAGAAAGCAAATCAGTATTTATGACCAAGAAAGCAGTAAGAAATCCTATTCACAGAATAGGCATAGGAAAGTAGAATTGAGTGCATTGGCTGCCCCCATCCCCCACCCAAAAATACTAAATCTAAGACTAGCCAAAGGAAGTCAGTCGTTATCACCACAATAGCAGGCAAAAAAAAAAAAGCTTATTCACAGAATAGGCACAGTGAGTATTGTATAGTGCACTGGCTGCCCCCCGTCCCCACCAAAAGAATTGTACATTCAAAACTAGCCAACTGAATTTAGTTATATGATGGAGGATGTACTCTTCTCAAACCGTGTGTCCCGTAGCACGGAAGATTGCAACTACCTATCCGTGAAAGAGGAAAAAGGGGGTAAGAAAAATGTAAATATTCTTCGACTCTTGAGAAAATCTTTACATGATTTGCCAACACAGACCAGATCTTGCCAACAAAAAATATAAGGCGTACCACTTAAGCACCTGTTAGTCTTGAAACTCTCAAATCCATAGATATCCAGCACCCCAATCAAACATTTTGAGTCTGGATCTTGACCTATTGAACTATTGATCTTATCTACGAGCCTGCACAATAATGGTAAAACAGCAAAAATCATGATTCTTAACAAAATCAATAAGAAAGTACAAAACTAATATATATAAGCTGGGACATCACTGAGTGTTTTACGTGAGACACGTCTTCTTCAAGCATGAAAGTGAAGCTTACCAGTCAAACAACCGAGAGTAGACAATTTTGGCCAAGGCATCCCTACTGGAAACTGCAGCCTCTGGATCTAACCATTTGGTGATTGTTTCATCACGAGTTACAATTACACGCTTGCACAGGGAATCCTCTAAAGCCTTCACATCACACCTACAAAAAGCTAAAGTTTTAGGCACTAAACGTTAAAGAGCAACAATGGAACTATTCTTGTTAGTTACTGCATGCCCAGAAAAAAACCAAAGGATTACATGAAAAGCTCTGCAGCAGTTCTTAAATGAAACCAAGATTTTTCATCTTTGGGCATTGAGGAGTCCATTTCCTTTCCCTTTGCAAATTCAATGTTTCCAAGGTGGAGGATTGCAGCAATAACTCGAAATATTGCATCCTGACAAAGAAAAACAAAGATAATTTAACAAAATTTGTATCAGAACAAATCAGTATTTATGACCAAGAAAGCAGTAAGAAATCCTATTCACAGAATAGGCATAGGAAAGTAGAATTGAGTGCATTGGCTTCCCCCATCCCCCACCCAAAAATACTAAATCTAAGACTAGCCAAAGGAAGTCAGTCGTTATCACCACAATAGCAGGCAAAAAAAAAAAAAGCTTATTCACAGAATAGGCACAGTGAGTATTGTATAGTGCACTGGCTGCCCCCCGTCCCCACCAAAAGAATTGTACATTCAAAACTAGCCAACTGAATTTAGTTATATGATGGAGGATGTACTCTTCTCAAACCGTGTGTCCCGTAGCACGGAAGATTGCAACTACCTATCCGTGAAAGAGGAAAAAGGGGGTAAGAAAAATGTAAATATTCTTCGACTCTTGAGAAAATCTTTACATGATTTGCCAACACAGACCAGATCTTGCCAACAAAAAATATAAGGCGTACCACTTAAGCACCTGTTAGTCTTGAAACTCTCAAATCCATAGATATCCAGCACCCCAATCAAACATTTTGAGTCTGGATCTTGACCTATTGAACTATTGATCTTATCTACGAGCCTGCACAATAATGGTAAAACAGCAAAAATCATGATTCTTAACAAAATCAATAAGAAAGTACAAAACTAATATATATAAGCTGGGACATCACTGAGTGTTTTACGTGAGACACGTCTTCTTCAAGCATGAAAGTGAAGCTTACCAGTCAAACAACCGAGAGTAGACAATTTTGGCCAAGGCATCCCTACTGGAAACTGCAGCCTCTGGATCTAACCATTTGGTGATTGTTTCATCACGAGTTACAATTACACGCTTGCACAGGGAATCCTCTAAAGCCTTCACATCACACCTACAAAAAGCTAAAGTTTTAGGCACTAAACGTTAAAGAGCAACAATGGAACTATTCTTGTTAGTTACTGCATGCCCAGAAAAAAACCAAAGGATTACATGAAAAGCTCTGCAGCAGTTCTTAAATGAAACCAAGATTTTTCATCTTTGGGCATTGAGGAGTCCATTTCCTTTCCCTTTGCAAATTCAATGTTTCCAAGGTGGAGGATTGCAGCAATAACTCGAAATATTGCATCCTGACAAAGAAAAACAAAGATAATTTAACAAAATTTGTATCAGAAAAAGCAAGAAGCCTTCACGTGTTAAATAATTGCATCTAATACCTGCTCCTCAGAACTTATTCCAACAGTATCCATTGCCTGCCTTGTTGCTATATATTCTTTGCATTCATCAACCCCATCCAATTCGTAGCAATTTGATTGATTTAAATAATGAAATGTTCTCGGATCTCCTAATTTATATTTTTGAATCTCCTAAAATTGAAAACAATGAAATGAGATTCATCTGAAATCAAGAGGGAGAATTAAGATGCATAGAGAACTGCCCAACATAAAATAAAATGAAAGTGACAACTAAACTTGAATAACATCGTAAGCATTATATTTATATGCACTGACAATTACACCTTAAATAAGAAAACCACGACCCATCTCAGTTGGAGAAATAGAAATTCAATTATGAACAACAATTTTAGAGCAGTGTTAGTATTTTTGCATAAAACCATTCCAGAAAGACAAAACATGAAAGAAAGAATGCTATGAAAAGAATTGAGGGAAGTTACATCACATCCAGAGTCACAGATCACTAAGAAATGAAAACAGTGACATGAATGAAGTCAAAATATAGAGAACACTTTAAACTATAAGCACCACAGAGAGATAACAAAGTCCTATTCATTATATTGGGCATAACTGATGTGAATAAATGAGCTTCAAGTGGATATAGAATCAAATACCCAGTTTACAAATTTTATATTCACAAGGGACCTGATGAGGAACGCCCTGAATATATAAATATAAACATAAAATATAAATGGCTTCAACTAAAATGAAACAGATTGAATATTAACTCAATAAACTACGAGGTTCGGTCTGTTAGAGATGGTAAGCAAACTACCAAATTTTCGTCTACAGGCAGATATGATGCTCAAAAAATGAGAGTTCTAAAGATATATACAGGTAAAATTTCAATTAAATTCCATTACCTCCTTTGGTGCAGCACAAAGCATATAAAAACAATGGTAATTTCTCTCAGGATCAGACACTTGACAAACACGAGATCTTTCAAGCAAATAAGTTCGAATAGCAGCCCCTGAAATCTTTCCCCTTCGATCAAATTGAATCTCCACAAACTTACCAAAACGACTGTAAGACGTGACAGGTCATATTAGTTGTATGATTATATCAAAAAGATATACTATCCACACACACATACACCAAATTTAGAAAACAAAGTAGGCAGCACATTTAGAGACAAATATCATATGCATTATTTTTACACCTTGAATTATTATTTCTGACAGTCTTAGCATTACCAAAAGCTTCCAAAACAGGATTTGACTGCAAATAAGCAATGGGAAAGTACAATGTGAGAAACTAAATCGGCCATGCAGTGTAATACTAGAATTTATCATCAACAGCATTACTTCCCATCCATGCTTATTCAGCTGAATATACCTGAAGAACTTGTTGTTCAACAGTCCTTCCCTCAACCACAGCTCGTCCTCCCATGTATGCAAGATAACGCATAAGCAATTTCGTGCTTTCGGTTTTACCAGCCCCACTTTCACCACTAACCAAAATTGCCTGACTTATTCCTTCATTCATCATTAGTCTGTGCAAAGAAATGGTCTATTCAATAGTAATACAAAGTATGCAAATTCAAGCAGTAGATCTAAAATGAAACTTGCCTGTAAGCAGCGTCTGCAACAGCAAAAGGATGTGGACTCAGCTCGCCAAATGCTGCTCCTTTATATTGTGCCATCATATGGCTATCATACAGATGGGGCAATTTTTGGAAAGGGTTCACGGCAATTAATATATTTCCCGTGTAAGTCTGGAAAATGCACAAATAGCAAGGTCCCAATAATTTTTCAGAGTTTTATCAATGAAGGCAGTAATAGGGGAAGAGGGAACTTTTTCCAGATGAAGAATCCAATACTAAGAAACTCACATAAATCTCGTTAATATCATATCTGGTCTTTAAATTATGTAGAACTCCAGGCTCATGCAGATATGCCAACTTTGTCATGTCATCCACTCCACAAGGTGGGGTTTCTGCATCTTTGGGATAGACATTGGAAGACTTAGCAACAACCTGTAGAAAAAGATGACAAAAATATACAAGGAGGCTAAATTTAGTAAATCTGTAAGCCCTCCAGTTTAAGCAAGAAAAATTTAATCCAAGAAAAATAACTAAAAAGGATGTAAAAAATACTCACTATTTTTCCTGATGTGCACTGGACCTTAATATCTTCACCATTCACTGCAACAACCTCTCCATCTATCCATGCTTCATCTAGATCCTCCACCCATACAAGAGAACCCATCCCTAAGCTGACTGAAGCAACCTACAAAAATCATTTTAAGGAGTATTAATGCCATGTCTAGAAACTCCATTCTTTGCTCAGTGCAGATATCTTCAGCTGGCAGAAATTTACATGAGAAACCCAGGCTGACTTCATAAGCGATATTCAAGACATGAGAGAGTCAATTCCAGTTAAAACATTGGAACCAAGGACTGCAATGCACGTGGATTATAAACCCAAGCCATCAAACAAAGTAGACCAAATTTGTATGAGGATATTTTGCTTTCATTTGGTTGGCACGCTACTATTTTATACAGTTGCATCCTAATAAAGGTATTCTAGTGCCAAATAGATTCGAATGTGTGTCAAAAAAAAAGATTGCTATATTGATTCGGCATACTCTAGAGATGCCCTCAGTACAATATTGATGATCATACAAGGATGATATTTCGGTGATGGCCTTTTACTGATATCAACTTTTATGGAATCTATCCCATTTAATCACTTTCTAACAGGTAGTTATTATATCATTTACTATAAGGATTATTCATGGCCGAAAGGGCTAATGGTGATAGACACTCTGGAATTCTCTAGCAAACTTTAGAAACAAGAAAGCTGGTCAATGGAAAAGTCTGAAAATAATGAAAGGGATCACAAACTAGTTTTGTTGATTGATCAAGTGGAAGAAAGACAGTAACAAAGAATGTCAATTATTCTTCATTTTCATCCTTTATGTGTACTAAAATGGCAAAATATTTTTGTTAACTAACTAAACAAATTTTCAATCAGTGAAAAACAGCAAACTTTTGAAACCGTAACTGTCTCATCTATTGCACCAATGAGACACCAGGACTTCTAAAATTCGTGTACTGCAGCCAAGGTCCAAAAAACGTTGCGAAAAACTTCACAAGTTATTTGTGTAGAACTTTATCAAATGATCCAAAAAGTTGATAATTGGATACACAATGAAGTCTTGGGCTTTGATATATGACAAAATGCTATTGATATGTTCAATAGAAGTCAAACCTGTTAATGCAACTACCACAGTGCACAGTCTCCCCGCCAACAACAATTCACCAATTCACATACTCGAAATATTTTAGTTCCTCATTCAATTGATTAGAGACAAAATGTACGCCAGTAACTTCAAATTGGTAGAAAGATTGCATGCATATAAGTAAATCAAGATGCATATCCTCCGACATTATTCTAGAAATATTGGAAAATCATACCAAACTCCAGGAACATACTGTTGATCAACTTAAGCAATTAACTAATATTCACACGCAATTCAATAAATTAAGATAAAATAACAGCACGTTCCGGGAAACCAAGACCAAACAATCAACAAATAAAAATAAAACGGAAGACAATTCATACCATATTTGGATGGCTCCAATCAGATCAGGAAACAAAAGAGCAATTCAAACGAAACCAGATCAAGAGAATCGACGGTAGTTGCACTTCCAACACATAAAAAAAAAAATGAAAAATCCAATCCAGTATTCACTCCAAATCAATATTTTAAACAACAAAACTCCAATGAACTACACTTTCTCCTGGTCTAAAAACAACTTCTTTTCTCCTTGCAATATTCCTAAAAATATACAAAAGATCTGACAGCAGAAATCAGAATAATGACATACTTATTTTTTTTCAATTTCACAGATCTGATTTTTTGTTGAAAAGTAGAAAAAGAAATCGAAAATCGGAGAAATATTGAGGATTAATAAACAAATGAAAAAAATGAATGAGAGAAAGGAAGATTAAAAATTCATAACCCCTATTTTGCTTGGGAAAAATGCAAAGGTTTTATGTTTTCTACTATTTTCTTCGCGAAGTCTTTTGCTGTTACAAGTAAAATCGTTGGTTAAATGAAACTGAATTCCATAAATGCCCCTCCTAGATCCGCGATATTGCAATAAGTGGCAAACTTCGCATGGTAGGGTTCAGACATGTAAATGATAATACACGGACATCATTGTAACTGGGTCCAACTCTTTTGAAATTGCCAACGCGGTTTCAATTTTTCATTTTTTCCTTTTTCCCTTTGCTTAATTAAGGTCCTTTGGTACCCTTTTTTTTTTTTTTTTTTTTTAAATGCATCTTTCTCTCTTTTCTTTTTAACCACACATTTTTATTAAAATAATATTACACATAAATTTAAAAAAATTTCTTATTTTTCAACCACACATTTCCCATCAATTTACTATTCTAAAATACATATTTACATAAAAATGACTCCCAAACATCCTCTAAAAAATAAAATAAAGAAAAAACTACTATTTTACGTAATTATTTGTTGGGGCCCACAAGAAGTTTCTATCTAAATTGGAAAAATTGTTGGGGTAAAAGAATGATCATGTCGAATTGATCGAGCTCATTTTTATACTGATTTTTTTGGATACAGTGGTTACTTTTGTATTTTGAGCAACAATAAATCAACTATATTACTCACGAGTACTGCACATTTTGGCTATAATATTTCTAAAAATCTTTGTCATCGTTGATAGAATAATTATATATTAACAGTCAACTATAAGGAGACAACTATTTTCCTATATTAATTCTGTGCACCATTTTCTATAAGTTTAGCATTGCTCTTATTGATAATATTAAGCTCAATTTGGTCAGTATTTATAAATTGTTTATGGTTTGTTAAGTAATTTTTTAGTCATATATTATGTGAAACTCACAGATACAACTTATTTATTTATCGTTAATTTTTATATATTTATATTTTAAATTGATTATATGTGACTCTCAAATATGTGTCAAAGTGATATTTATAGCTACTAGAAAATTTTAGCAATTTTGATCTCTTTGATAAAAGAAAAAATGCTAGCCTCTATGGCCTATGGGTCAACCATCACGAGTCCCATGAGCACACGACTCGAATTTACTATTTTACTAACATCTGAAGTGCTTGGCAATATAAAAAGATATCCTTGTATTAATAAGAATATATGGTGCGGTTTTTTATGTTGACCCAATTACTTGGGTTAGAATTAGGGGTTCACGCTTCTCTTATAGAGGATGATCCACTTTAAATAAAATATAATTTATTCAAAATGGGTTTCCCTTCATGAAAAGGGTAAATACCATTATGTACAAGTAGCATGTTCCTAGAATTAGATGAATTGTATCACTTTTCTAAAGAGAGGCGCACGGAATAGAGCCCAATAGTTTCATGGTCAAATTTCATCATTTAAGTTGTTAGATTGAAACTTTTTTATTCAAATTAAACTTATTTTTTATCATTTTATCTTTTAGTTTTAATTATTAGAGGATTTGCTTACATTATTTCTTAGAGTAATGCTATTTAGCCACCACTGAGATTGCAACTTCAGTTTCGGTGATGCTAACATGATATTAATTGATAAGTAGAATTAAATAACTCATTTAATTTCACCTTACATTTTAACTTATCATCAAGTCCCACCTAAATTGGGGTTGTAATTTTAGTAGGGTCACATGACATTACTCTATTTCTTATAGTTTGTATTTATTTAGAATGGTAAGTTATGACTTCTTATTTTCCTTTAGCAACTAGGATTATGGTTCATTTTAACTTGGGTCTTTATTGATGTAAGAGTTAGAGTTTCTCAATTCTTCAAATTAAGTATTCTTTGTGAATCTATAAAAAAAATGATGGTCAAATTTTATGTATTCAATTGAATTGAAAAGTGCATGTTTCGCTCTATCAATTTGATATCAAAGCATAGTCACTTTCCTAATAGAGATGGCTTAGTGTTCATGAAACCTAGATACAAAATATCTTGTAATGCAATAAGTTAGCGTGAATGTATCCACGAGTAATAGATTGAATAACTGCATTGAAAAATGATGAAGTTGAAGCAACACATGGTTTGATAGCCACCAATGGCAGTGTAGGAAGGACTCTAAGAGGGACAATAATATTTTTGCTTCTTTAAATTCCTGTTCGTGGAAAACTGATTTAGACGATAATTATGACAACCTATCTATTTTAGCCTAGAGTTCGAGAATGTTAAAGTATCTTATATTAAGGAAAAACTCGTGACTGTTGATATTTGTAGTGCATACACGTTAACCATATAAGTTCATAGTTTCATCATTATGTGGTGTGCATTATTTAGATTGAGAATGAGCAATTGACAACAGGGTTAAATAATTTGGTGATTTAGAGTAAGCAGTGACTACTGTGGAACAAGAGTTCATTTACAAGATTTGAAGACGAAACTATTTCGACCTTGAGAGAATAATGCAGCTGGATACATTAATCAAGGTGTCAAAATTAGATGAATTATATCTATTTTACAAGCACAAATGACCATTTTAAGCTGAACTCATGGGCTAAAGCCCTTGAGCTCACGGGTTTTGTTTATCTATAAGCTATTACATCGAAACTTTTTATTATTAGTGCATAAAATAATTTTATCTATTTATTTACTCGCTTTAATTATTGGATAGATTTACGTCATAAAGTGTGCGTTTGTTTGAAATAGTAAGTTAATGCTTCACATTATATTTTTGTTCGAGATATATTTTATTGTACATTGGCAACTTTTTGATCAAATCTTCAGTTATAATATCATTTCAGTGTTCTCAGTCACCATTCAATATTGATTTTGGAGTCTAACTTCTAATTCTCAAATATGAAGAAGTTATTTTAGGTGTCTGGTAAATTGAGGAAAAAATTTTGATTATAGAAGGAATTAATTACCTTATTAGGTCCTCGTTATTTTCAAAATACTTTTTTTTTTCTTTATTATTTTCAGCCACACATTTTTTAATAAAACAATATTATATGCAAATTCCTTTATTTTTAAATTACACATTCTCCATCAAAATACTATTTATATTTTTGGCACAAAAAAGGGAGGCTCAAACAGGCTGATAATCTAACGGCATATAATATTAAAGCCCTAGTTTGAGCCACATTCTTTTTTAAAAAATATATATTTTTAAACAGTGTTTTAATATTATTTTAACCACACATTCTCGAATATAATAATATTGCACGTAAACTTAAAATATTTCCTTATTCGTTAACCACGCATTTTCCATCAATACACTATTCAAAAATTAATTTCTATGAAAAGAATGGGGCTCAAAAAGGGGCTAAATAAATTCTTTTTTGTCTCTGGTTTATTGATATTCCAAAAATAACATATCCTTATCATTTAAATATTTTAAAACCATATGGACTATGCCTCTCTTTTGTAACTTTATAAAATTTGAAATTTAATATATATATATATATATATCTTCATTTTAATGAGAATGCATACTTCTCTTTTATTTTTTTTTACTTACACATTCTTTAATAAAATAGTAATATAGGTAAACCTAAAAATTTTCTTCATTTTTTAACCACAAATTGTCTAAAAAATAAGGACGCGTTTGATTTGCTGTTTTCATGTCGTTTTCAGGTTTTAGTTTTCCAAAGCATTAAAAAATACGTCCGATCTGCTTGTTCTTGAAAATATAGGAAAATTTTATAACATAAAACTCAAAATGCACTTTTGACGTTTTGAATATATTCAGTGAAATTCTGAGAATACTCAAAAAATGGAAAACAAAAGTTCAAATAAAATCTTAAAAGGTAAATTTTTTTTAAAAAATAAATAAATTCTAATAGATAAAAATTTATTTTTTGAATAAATAAATAAATAAAATTGATAAATTCTAAAAAATTAAAATTAAAATTCTGCAAATAAAAATTATAAAAACTAATATATAAATAAAAATAGTTCAAACTCTTAATGATTATTTACATTAAAAGATTTTAGAAATAAATGTTTGTAAAAAATTAAATTTAAATTCAAAATAAAATTATAAAAATTTCAAGAAAATAAAAATTGAAAAATAGTTCAAACTCTTAATAATCATTTACATATAAAACATATATGTAAACGAACACAAACCAAAATATTTTCAACCCACATTATTAATTTTTAGTTTTATTTCCTATATTTTAAAAATTCAATTTATTATTATTTTTAGTTTTGTAGCGAGCGAAATATTGTAAAATTCACCAATTTTATAATTTATATATATATATATATATATATTACTTGATAATATTTTAATATAAAATTTCTATTTTTATTGGATATTCAAATTTAATGGAATAAAATGTAATAAAATAATTTTCAAAAATTTTAATCAAACATGTTTTCTAATTTTAAAATAGGCATTCGAAACAGAGAACTGAAAATGAAATTAAAACTTAAAACTGAAAGTCGAAATATAAACCAAATAGGCCCTTACTACTGCAAAATATATTTTTCCAAAACCCCATCAACTGGAGCTCAAATAGGCGTTAAATATCTTTTCCTTATAAGATACTTGATAATATTACGTATTTATTGTTATAAACGTAAAAATAATTTTTAACACACATAATAATAATAATAATAATAATAATAATAATAATAAAGACAATATTTGATCAATAACCAATTTATTATTTGTATATTTTTCGCCAAACACTAAATGTTGATTTTGAAACATACATCAATTCCGAAACAAAAGTTTATCAAAAAAACATAACCGATTCTTCCCTCATCCATGCCCATATTCAGCGCAGCAAAAAAATGATGCTCTTAAACTAGCATCAATATCAAACCAAGCCTTGGTGAATAAATGATTTTTTATTATCAATTCTTGTTTTCAATTGAATAAGTTTTGGAGTGTTAATTATATTCACGGGACGTTTATTTCTCGTTTTTGTAAAAATGAGAATGAAAAATATAGTTATTATGGCTCCACATAAGATATATAAATTCAAATTTGGTGATTTGATGTGATGGATAACGATCATATTTTTCATTTTAATGGGGAAATAATGAAAAACAAGCAGGGTTCAGTAAATATTACATTTCGTCAATTTAGCTCCTGTTTGGTCACCATTATCATTTTCATTCTTTTTCTCTCTCTTATTTCAACCACATAATATTTTATAAAATAATATTACATGCAAATAAAAAAAATTCATTCTTTTTGAACCACACATTCAAAAAAACATTATTCTAATCATTAAATTTGGAAAGAATGGAGGCCGAAAGGGGATTAAAAAAAAAAAGGTTGAACTCCAACCTTGAGAGCCCCCACCGTCCCGTCCCTAGAGTATGAGGTAAATCGCGAAATGTGTCCCAACAAGCAAGGAAACAAGAATTTGTCCGTACACTGGTACCCGCAAATAGTCCAATTCTATATGTCATGAATCAAATCTTTACACAGCAATTATCAACAAAATTGAGACTACAAAAAGAGATTAACTAATACGGCATGATGCCTCTTAAAAGCATAAGATGTAACAACTTTTCAATTAAGGCTCTGAGCAAAACCCGACAAAAGCGTGATCCTTCACCTAACCCCACAACCTCATTCAAAAAGCATGAAAACATTTTCCAAATCTCTAAAGTTTATCGATTTCATTTTCAAGTAAGCACTACTGACTTTATATCACTGTATTTTTACCCACTTAATCTACTGTTTCATGGTGTTTTGTCTTGATTAAATGATTTCATTCAGCTGGTGTTTGATTCCCATTAAATTAAATTTCATTTTTTTTTATCATATTTTCAATCACACAATCTTCTATAATATAATATAAAACATAAATTGAATTTTTTTTTTTAATCAATTTTTAAAAATTTTTTTTTTTTTTTTTTTTTATCATTTATAAAAAAAAAAAAAAAAAAAAAAATACTATTGCACATATTTTAATTTGAAAAAATGAGGCCAAACAAGAGCTTATAATTCACACAAAAAAAAAAATCCAACAATGTTTGAATTTAACGGTGATTACCATTTCCCCTTTCTTTCTTTTCTTTTTCAATATTACTAAATTCCTGTCAAGGGGGTCATAATTTTCTATTTGCAATTCATGATGAAAATTGGAAAATGTCCAACCATATAACTATTTGCAATCGATGAAGAATATTGGAAAATGTCCAACCATTTAGTTAGTGGCTGTTTGGGATGGTTTAGAAAATTGCCAAGAAGTTGGTCAAAGTCAACAATTTTCAAGAGAATTTTAGTTTTTTTTGTCAACTTTAATCACATACTTTGTCAAACAAAACCTCAATCAGGTGTATAATCATCTTTCAATTTCCAAAAATATAATATAGACTAGGGAGAAAATGGAGAATTAAAAATAAATATCTATTTTTCTTTTTAATTAGTATATTTGTACCACAATTTTTATTAGTTACACTATGCTTTAATTGCACATAAAGTAGTTATCTTTGCTCATTATAATACTTATATTCCTATCGTTTTGTCAACACGTTATTATCATCAACATTTTCATTAGTTAATACATTGCATCTCTGATAACGTTTTGTTCATCCAAAAAGCAAGTTGAGAGGGCATTAATAGACATATTTGTCTATCATATTTAAAAAAAAAAAACAAATGCAAAATTTGCAATAATATATTTTTATCTCATTTCAAAGCACGAATATTTTGACAAAAATCATCATCAAGATGAAAGACGAAATGTGTTAATAAAACAAGAACTCGACCAAAAAATATTCAGGACATAAGTTTATGTCAAATGACAAAACTATTAATGTAGACGTTACTAGAAAACAAAATTTAAATCACCTTACATTCATTTTCAATTCAATTGAAAGTCAAATACTTTTAATGTCTAAATTGACTATTTTTTGGACGTATGGATGCAAATTCATAGATTTTTTAATAACAAGAAGGGCAAAAATGGAAAAGAGTGGGAGACATGGTGTGGCAACGCGCGAGAAAATGCGCGTGAAGTCATTCATTAGCTTCTTAGGGTAATATGATAGAAATTTTAAAATACAATAATATGAAAATTTTGAAACATTCGAGGATGTGCCGTGTGCGACAAAAGTGTTGTTATCAGATCAACGGTATTGCCTTCGGTTCAATCGTGGCCGTCAATTCCCAGACATTACGTGCGAACAATGTCTCTATCATCGCCGTAATAGACGGAAAGTTCACGTGTTGCATTAAAGAAGGGCCCAACCCAATATTGGTCCGGTCCAGATATTTGGGCTCCCTATTAAGCAACAAAACATTTTTCAAAGACTAGCATAGATATGGAGACTCCTGTCCTGAGCCAAAAATAACTGAATCAAAAGTAAAGAGTTGCTCGTTCATCAAATACTGAACCTGCAAAAAATTAATACGTAGCATGCATATAGAACACCTGGACGTAAGGAAATTGAGCCAATTTCAGCTGCCTAAAGCTGCACTCGAAATAACTTTCTGAATAAATGGGTCCTCAGAACTGTACATTTTAATCACTTTATAATTATAATGAAGCTTGGTATCCAGTGCCATCATTCCAATCGCATCTAGAGAGGCCATCGTGTTCACTCATACTCCCCTTTAATCTATAAAAAGCTCGTTTACTCCGAAGTGTCCTTAAAGGGCCTGATCTATTTCCGTGCCTTATAGGCCAGGCTGCCTCACCCTCGACCAACCCTGAAGCTGAAAACTGTCTGTTCTCAAATTCTTCTAGAGGGCCTGAACTGTACTCCATTGTTATGAAAGGAGAGGCTTGCCCATATGTCAATCGTGGGGTAATCCCGCCAGCATTCCACCAACTACTGTCAGAATGGGGAAACTCATATTTGAAGTCAGATTCCCGAGCAGAAGACTCTTTCCGACTACAAGCATCCCCACAAGTCTCGTCTGTGTCGTTGTAGATAAGTTTTAGTGCCTGAACCACTTCTCCCATGAAAGGCCTATTTGTCACCTCTGAGCGAACACACATAGAAGCAATGGCTGCCACCTTTGCCATGTCATTGAAATCATAAGTTCCAGCCAAGGAGGGATCCACTAACTCCTCCAAGCCTTCTCGACTAGTCAGAAGAGATCGCGCCCAAGTCACGAGGTTTTCTTGTCCTGGAGGTTGAGACATGTCCACGGGTTTTCTTCCCGATAGAAGCTCTAATAGAACAACTCCATAACTGTAAACATCACTTTTGACAAGTAGATGTCCTGTCATTGCATATTCAGGTGCAACATACCTGTATTCCATAATTTAGATGGCTGTCACAACCGCTCTTATCCAAAATATAATAGTTGAAGTTGAAGTAGCAATCATGTCAGAAGATAAAGATGTCGTGGATTCAGAATTTATAAGCACTTTTCAGGAAATGAACAGAAGGGAAGAACAAACCACGACAAAGAAAAAAGGAAAGAATCATTATTCAAGTCGGCCCTATAACATCAAATCAGTCTGGTTTGCATTATTTTAGCTAATTGAATTACATTATACATTAGGTTCTAATCAAACTTCGACGTCATACCAAATTGACATTTTGATTTAATGGGACACAACTTTGATGGTAAGCAAAAAAAGGTTTTGATTTCTCAAGATGCAAATTCTCGGTATAGTGCCTGTGTATTAAAAGTGTTAATTGGATAAATATTGTTCATTAAATTTCTTCGTTTTTTGTTTTCAAACAGATAACCAAGCATTTTTCTAAAAAGATTGATTATTTCTAAACCCAGCAAGTTCTTATCACGATTCAGAATATTAATCAGAATTGCATCTTCCTCGAGCTTCTATAGTCCAGTTATAGCAGTAATATGAGAAAACCAATTTTCATACAATTTGCTGCAGACCAAAGAAACATACCCGAAAGTTCCCATCACCCTAGTTGATATATGATGAGTTCCTTCTGTTGCTTCCCTAGCCAAACCAAAATCTGAAACCTTGGGGGTAAAGTCGTGTTCTAACAAAACATTACTGGCTTTGAAGTCTCGATGAATTACACGAGGATTAGAATCTTCATGAAGATAAGCCAATCCTCTTGCCGCACCAAGAGCAATCTTCAACCGTGCATCCCAGTCAAGAGGCACTTTCTTCTTGTCATCACCTGAGACATAAGTAACTCCATTTATCCACAGGTGGTCAGATAAAAAATCAGCATGTGCATCCTTACCCGCAGAAGAGGTGTTTCTCAATGTTACTCTGGGACAAAGATAGAATTAAGAATGATTATACATACATGTCATCGTGCCTTTATCCCTTTGGAACTCCAATGAAGGAATATATTGACCGATATCACACCAATAACTATAAGTTGGAACTTATAAATTTGGAGGAAATGAGAAGCATACCGTGTAAGTGGGACTCCACACTGCCATTTGGAACTAGCTCATAGACCAAGCAGCGTGTACGTTCTTCAATGCATATACCAACTAACTTTACAAGGTTGCGGTGATGCAATCGGCTTAGCATCTCAACTTCAGCAATAAATTCTTGATCTCCATTTTGATTTTCCCTGGTAAGCAACTTAACAGCAACTTCAGTTCCATCTCCCATGATCCCATGATAAACACGTCCAAACCCCCCTTCACCCAGCACTCTTTTTGAACTAAACTTATCCGTGGCTTTCTCGAGCTCTGGAAGTGGAAATGTTTTAACAGAAAGAAATGAAGCAGGCATGGTTGCAACAAGAGATGCCGATATAGAGCTGCTTGGGCTACTTGAGAACATAGATCCAATCCCTTGCATCATAGAAAAAGGCGTAAAGATATCAAGCGAGTTCATAATCTCTAAACGGTAGAGGCAGTAGACAAATTTCCCAAAAAACCAGGGTTCTTTAAAACCCCCCCCCCCCCCAAAAAAATAAATAAATAAATAAATAAAAATAAAAATTCTTCACACCAGATATCCATAACATTTTATAATAAAAGCTTGAGTTGTTGGCGAGGATCACGTGTATATCACTTCAACATTGTCTTCAACAAGCCCCCTCACTTGTGGGCAATGTTCATATTTTTTTCATTAAAGCTTGACACAAGCATAATTTCATATATGTGTGTGGCAGTAAGACTCAAACTCGCAACTTGATACCATGTCGAATCACTTGGCTAAAAAGCACGTTGTTAGAGAGGGCCACATGTATATCATTTACATATTGTCATCAAGATTATCTTTAGAGAAAAAGACAATTTTCTTATAATGGTGATTTCAGCCTCTGCATGCCAATATGTTCAAAAACTGTCCCCACATTTGTTCATCACTAAACAAGTTAAAGCTAAGAGTAACTTGCAGACTTACCATATCTCTTGTTTGTCGATGGTGGATATATTGGACCAACAGCATTGGATGGTCTGCTAGACTTCCTGCACTTCATGAGTATCACAACTGTCACGCAGCAAACTACCAAGAGTACAAATGCTGACAGAGCAATGACAAAAATCATTTGAGGGTTCATTTTCTGATTCTTGTCAACAAAATATGCACTGATAGGGTCTTTCTGATTTCCCGCACTTCCACTTGGACCATCACCAAAAGTACCAGATGATGATGAAGGAAGCCCTGACAATCAATTTTTTAGGCTCTATAACAGCAAAACCACGTAAACTGAACCATGTACTAATCAGAGTTCAGATTGTACCTGGGTATGTAATGTATACTACTACATAATCACCAAAAAGGGTCCTATTCAGAGGCACCTTCTTTTGCCAAAGTCTCTCATAAGTCAGGATAGCAGTAGTGTCATCAAATTTTTCCCCCAGTGGCACCAGGTTAATGTCAACCATTGATCTTCCCTGATTTTGACCATCTGCAGTCGCACCAATTATGGCCACTTGACTTTGTTTTAGATAGATGCCTGCTGCAATTTCAATTTCTAATTCATTGACCTCAGGAAAGATAGCATACAGTGCTACATCTAGAAGAAGTCTGACTTTCATTGGAAGCACACAACCACAGGTTGAACCAATCGGAGCTGAAGTAAGAGGCTCCGCACAAGTGTGACCACAACCTGCGAGATTTTATCACAAAAAGTTTCTCAATTAGCATTTAACAAGTTAAAAACAGCGGCAGGCAGAAAAACTTTCACATTGAGCAAGCTAATTGATGCACTACAAGGAGGTCATCATTACCTAAATAGGCAATGGAATGCAGCAAAAAAATTGGTAAGCATATTGTGCAGAAAGGACTAAGCATTTAAAAGAGGGAAAATATCCTAAGATCCATGTGCAGAAAACCCTTCAGAGATCATAACGAATAGTAATACAAAAGAATCGGTACTGCGTTGCCATAACCAAGAGAAGACCAAGGGTTCTATATACACAGAAAGCTATATAGACCGTACCAGGCCCATGGATCCACATTTAAGATAATTCAGCCGAAACTATAAACAATAACATCTGTTGAGGATTAAGACCAAACACGACATCAGTCATTAATACAAACTAATTTGTAACTCATATTTGACGGAGATGCTTAAGATATGAGCTACTACCTGCGGGATCATCAAAACAAATAGCCTTGGGTAAGAGGAGTCCAAAGTACAAAAGTGAAGAGAAAGAATACAAGGGTTCAAAGTTAGCATTGCCAGCTGCTGAATCATCACAACCAGCCATAGCTTTTAAGTGATAGAGAGGAGTTCGAGCACAAAATTGATCAGAAAGAATATGAGAGTTGGAAGTTAGCATTGCCAGTTTCTGGATATTGAAGCTGTGCCAAGTTTAATTAATTCTATTTCAGTTTACTGTAATTTTCCATTTTGACTCAATTCAGGTTTTATTTCATCGGTTGGTTTCTACAGAAAGTAGAGTAACTAAAACCTTATATATACACTGTTAATGCATTGTATAAGTGCATTTTCTGGAAGTGATTAAACTAAAATTTGAATGATAATAAGTTGTAGCCCTATGGAATGAGTGGAAAGTATTTGTGGGACCTACAATATATGTGGATAAAAACCACATCAGATCATAATTAATCACCTCCCAAAAATGCTGTTAGTTAGACTGCTGATTATCGAATAAACTGATGTTGTCAACTTTCTCTCTATTCTCCCCCCTACGTTGACCTCTTCTTCCCTTCCTCCTCTTATTTCTCCTCTCTTCTTCTTCTTATTTCTCTTTTCTCTTCCCCTTCTTCCACAATTATAGTTCTTTTTATGAGTGTCCATCATCAACATTCTTTCGATTTCTTTTTACATAAAAACAATCACAAGAATAGTTGACTTTCCTTTTAGCTCTGAACTGTAAATTCTCATGCTTAGAATGAACCCCATGTGGATGTTAACCCGGTTCAGGATTTCTTTATGAATTTCTTTTTTTCAACAACAGAAAAGCTTTTTCAACTAATTTGAATCTATTTTCATTTTGGATAAGGTATTTACTAGCATTCAAGCATATCTGCTGCTACTCAATGCCATCCCTTCATTACGATATGCAAGGAAAACTTGTTTTATTCGCCTGCTATATGAAGGATTTTATGAAGAAGATGAAGTGCAAGAAAAAACCCAGGAGATAGGAAGGCAGGCTTGGCTGAACGACCTAGCTTTATACATCGTTATTTGTAGTTATTCACCAAGGAGGATTGTTTACACTACATCTAACGAACCAGTACCTGTGGCCCGGAACATAGGAAACAAAAACAGATTCTAATAGGCAACAGCAAACAATTTCAGCTGAATAATATGGTTCAACTAATTCACTTAGATACAATTTTAATTAGTAATTAGCGACGTGGCTCTACTGGTTTAGCTTGGGTATTCTATTCGACACTATAGAATGTAGAACTCATTTGTTTACTCTCTATTTTCATATCAAAGCAGAAGTAGGCGAAGAGAAATTCGAGAAGGCTGGCCTCTTATTGCATTGAACAACATAACACAATCAGTAAAGGAAAAAGAATCCACCTAATCAGGTCATAGAGAATCCGATATAGTTTTGCCAGACTGACAAGAAATAATTTTGAATCACGGACCAATAACTTCCATCCCAACAAGATGGGGATAAGCATTTACGTTTCATCAGAAGTTCTCTTCCATCAATCATATGTAATAGGCTCTTATTTTTGTTTTCTTCTAGTTTCTTTAGTAGTTTCAACTACAGATGCGGCTCTGACCAAGGGATAGTGGCAACAGTCATATCTCCTTGCCCCTTGGGGATGCAGATAATATTTGAAGCTACTCTCAAACCATCAGATCGATGCCAACCCAAGTACTCACATATGGTTACTATAATTATGGGAGGAGAGAGAATGCTTGCTGAATAGATACCTGCTACAGCCGATGGAGCTGGAGAAATCGCATGAGTTCTCACCCGATGGTGGTAGTGGTGATGCCTTGATCGAGTACGACCAATAGGAGCAGCAGCTGGACCTATTATCAAAAGGTGCCATATCAGTAAAAGGCTAAAAGACATAATATAAGTAGGAGAGATTATAAATGTCTTCAATACCTTGAGATGCTGGAGAAGGAGAAGGTGCATTCAGTGATATCAAAGGAGGTTTAAAATGCGGTCTATGCAGCGCTTTCAATTGACCGAAGCTAACTGGAAGCAGAGGTAGCAGATAGAGGAGTAAAAGAAGCATATTCTCTCCCCCATAAACTAATTCACATTGTACTCATTACAAAACTCCGTTAAGCGAGTAGTCTGGGGGGTTCCGGTTAAGCTCCGTCCGCTGACAAAACCGTCTTTCACGAAAATTTAAAAACTGCATTAAATAGGCAATGGTGTACGCCAACCAGTAAACAAACCCTAACTCAAAATTCAACAATGCGGGTGGTTTCAAACTTTCAATACGCATTCAGTAGATCCACGAAATGCAGCAAAGATCTAACGATGGAAAGTAATACAGAGCAAATGTAAGTAGATGCAGAGATTGAGAGAGAATGTGAAAAGGCAGGCGGATCTTGGGAAAGTAAAACAAAAGTAAAGGATTAGTAGAAAGAAAGAGGTGGTGCTGGGGAGCTTTATTGCCGGTGTAGACACCGGCACCTTGTTTTCGGGCAACCGATGACTGTCTGGTACACTTGCCCACTTGTATGCGTGCTTGTCACGAACCAATAGTGAGTATGGTGAGAACAAAATATTTTATGGGTAAATTTGTTCAGAGATAACTCAAATTTCTTTCACGCATTCTAAATAAGAAAATATTAAAATAAGTTTTGGTAATGCCCTTGTTTAAGCCCCATTTTGAAGTAAAAAATAAATTTATATATGTATTGATGAAAAATATGTAGTTAAAAAATAAGGAAAATATTTGAATTTTTATGTAATACTGTTTTATTGAAAAATGTGTGATTGAAATTATATCAAAATATTATAAAATAAATACATTTTCTTTAAATAATGAGACTCAAACAAGCTGATATCTTTAAATTAAAATATTAAAATACATATTTAATTTATATATTATGACGTGACGTAATGATAAAATTGGTTCATCGTGCAACAATTAATGGATAATTCGCCAAGGTATGATGGTTAATTAAGTAATTCAAGTAATGGTGGAGTGAAATTTGCAATTTAGTAATTCGATTGAATCATATTAAAGTCAATTTCAATTCATTTTTGTACAAAAATTTCTCATGTCTTTTGCTTCAAATTCATCATGGTATTTAGAGCAAGATTTCGTTATCGCTTCCTTTGTAAATTGCGGTGAATAAGCGTGTGTAGACTAATCTCTACAATATATATCTACACACACACACAATATTGACTTATTGACTACTTAACACCACGACGTGATATTGGTTACTATATTAGTAAACTCAAAAGTTTTTGATATATCAATAAGTGCAATCGATAGATGTATTCAATTATTCTAGTGTAGTAGGAACCTAGGATAAACAAAGTAGTAAATACATATTCACGTTTGAAATCGTCAACCAATCAGCTGAATAAATAAGTTCGCATAACCATTTCTTTCGAAATGCGTGCCCACGAGATCTTAAGTTAAATTTCAAGTGATTAAAGATTTCTAAAAGACTCTATATTTTTAAAGAACGCATTCTATTATTTGAAGAGTATCTATAAATTTAGAAGGCTAAAGTTTTGAAGTACTCCAACAAACTCTTTATATTTATATCACTTAATTTTATTTATACCAAAAAACATTTATTATTTTTCTCTATATTTTATTTTAACTAGTTTTTCTCTATATTCTGTTTTTATTTTTTCACATTGAAAGTTGAAACACTTTGGATGCATTTAATTATAGTGAATTTACCCACTATCAAAATTAAAATGTTGATTTAAAAAATCTTTTGGAACATGATTTTAGGGGTCAACTCTTTAAAATAGAAAGTATTTTATGTTTAAAGAATTTCTTGAAAATTCCCTTATAGACTACGAGCCATACGAAATATGTAGATTAATAGGTAAACAGTAGTTATGGATCATACAAAATCTTTAGATTAATATTATATTCGATCAACTTAAATTATAATTTAAGTCGTGCCAAATGTTCTTTAATTTTATCACAAAAAATTGTCAAAGAAAATTTGAGCTTGAGTGAGAAAATAATTAAAAAGGCGAAAAGATCATCATTTCCCGTATCTAATTATTCGATATCCAACGAGGTAAGACATCAAGATGGTAAGTTAAGAGAATGTAATTGTACCGAATTAAAAATAGTATAATTTATATAATTTGATGGTGTAGTTTTCTTTGTCTTTATTGGGCTGGGCCGAATTTTATAATTGTAGTGTACAGAAAGAATGAATTTTTGAATAGTGTATTGATAGAAAATTTTTGATTAAAAAATAAGAAAAAATTTTAAATTTGTGTGTAATATTATTTTATTAAAAAATGTGTTTGAAGTGATAGTAAAATACTATTGAAAAATTCATTTTTTTCAAATATTGGAGCTCAAACAAGGGCTTAATCGTTGGAGTAAATAAATTCTATAAGTTGGACGAGTTCCTCTGATAGCTTCATGATAGGATATAAAGCTCTCGTTCTATAAAAGGTGCCAGAGCACAAATCAGGGCATGTCAACTGCCTAGGTCGACTTTCATACTGAGAGAGAAGTTGCATTTTCTCATATTTTTAAGTGATTCCAGTTTAAAGTTAGTTCGATTCTAATACCAAAGAAAATATTTTTGTCACGACCCACTTCATTTACTTTTATTTTATCTAATTGGGCTTGCATGATTAGTGGGGCTAGTCCATAGCCCTTTTTATCTCGAGGGTTGTTGTTTTGTTCTGTATAAAATTGTATTGAAAGCTTTAGAGAAAAGAGGATGAATATGATGAATTGAATTGTGGCTCGCTGCGAGTCTTCTTCCCTCTTCCTCCCCGACTTCTCTTCCTTCTCCGGTCTTCTACCCCCTGCTGTCGTCTATTTCTCATCTTCCCTTCTTCCTCTTAACAGTTAAGGTATTGTAATCCTTCATCTTGCTGGTTTTGGTTGGAAACGACCCAACCATAACAATTTTGAAGCCAAAAGAATCGAGAATGGAGATTAGAAGCAGTAGCCATTTATAAAAAAATCGAAGTCGAAATTAATTACGCCACGATGATATTCCACTAAATTCTCATGCAATTTGTTCAGAACAAATATGACGCGAATTTAATTATTTAATTACATTCTCAACATTTTATTTTATATAAATTTTCATAATTTGTATTTTCTATAAACTATTTTTTTAACAATAACAATTGAAAGAATGCATAAGTGATACTCTTTTTAAAGTAATAGAAATAGATACAATGAATTCAATTCTCAATTACTTGTAACCAAGAAAATCAGTTTCAATAAAGTTTATAATAAATATCACGACGTTCTTTGATCCCATTATTTTTTAAACACGTTTTTCTTTTTTCTTTTTAACTACATATTATTCAATAAAATAACATCATAAAAAACTTTAAAATTTCTTATTTTTTAAGTATACATTTTCCATCAAACTATTATTTCAATATACATCCTTATCTAAAAATAAAAATCAAACATCCGCTTTAGATTTCCTAAAGATAAAGCCAAGTTTGAATGGGACGTGATTGACCAAATTATTTCCCCTTCTTTTGACTGCTAAATAGCCAGTTTCCTAAACACAATACAACCCTATTTATTCAGAAGAAAAACAAAGGAAAAACTTGAATCTTGATTATGAATATATTAATGGTTTGATTTACATTTTTCAAGAATTTACCTATCAATAGAAGAATTAATTAACTAAATTACACGAGCATCAGCAAAGAAATTATGCTAAAAATCCCTGTTTTTCAAGTAAAGATAATCAAGAATATTGATTATGATGATGATGGAGATGAAGACGTGTCGAATTTGTAGTGTTTGTCGACTGCAACAGATACATCCCAGGTGCAACTGAGTCCCTTTGGTAAAATCACAAGATCGCCGGCGCCGAATTCTACTACTTCCGATGAGTTTTTAGATTTTACTTTCACTTTCCCCCGGACTAGATAACAGGTTTCTTGTTCATCAAATTTTAGCTGGTACTTCCCCGGCGGGCAGCCCCATCTTCTCAATATTCACCAGAAAAACACAGTTAATATATACATAACAGAACATACACATACATACATATATAAAGTAGAGACAGAGAGACTTACTTGGGCCAGGATTTGATACCTAATTCAGAGAGCTGTGAGTCTGAAGGGTTGTTTTGGACGACGATTCTGAGATTTGTTGAAGAATTTGAGCTCGATTCTGCAGCCATGAAATATTGATCTCTCTCTCTATGTGTGTGTGTGAGAGAGATTGGGGAAGGTTCCGTTTTGACTAGAAACAGTATGTGTACACACACGTTTGTGTATGCGTGCATAGTGCAGTTTTTTACCTTAGGTTTTGATTTATTTGAGTGGTTGAGAAGTGTGTGTATATATATATATATGTATATATATATATATATATATAAAAGTAGCATTATTCTTATTCGAGACAGAGAAATAATGTGTATAAGGAA